TTTTTTATGTCTTATGCTTCATAGTTTATCAGTAGGACGCGGGAAGGTATGGTAACTGGGATTCTGACATCAGGGAAATGCATGATAAATATTTTGAAATACAAAACTATGACAAACTGACGGATAATTAGATGTTCCAAATTGCGTTATCAAAGGCAGTAAGGGATGGCATATTACTGACTAGTGACAATTTCCAGAATTTGAGTGTTGTCTTGTTGAACAATATCCCTAGTCTGTAATACTTAGACCTACTAAACTTGCGAAAAAAGTTGCGTTCCCGTCAGATTTCAACAAAATCAACGAAATCCATTCCTGACCGCCGCGGTTGGCCTTTCCTCCCCAGGAGAGCATTGCATCTCGCTGCTCGGGACCAAAGGGGAGGAGGGGCGAAGGAGGTTCCCCAAGCTGACCCCCCAGGACGGCCCTCGGTGCCTCACCTTCTGGCACTTCCTCAACGGGGCCGAGAGTGGCGAGCTCTCCATTATCGTCACGTGAGCATTTTGAAAATTTTCCTGTCTTTATTTACCATTGTTTATGCTTAACTTTTCCACTAAAGATTGCATCTTGCAGCGTATCGCATTTCATATTACTGTATACTATACTATGGCCGTGTACATTTTATTATATCATAGTACTGTTTATGTTATTACTATGTTCTGTGATATTCGCGTGCTCTGTTGTTTACCTTAATATATATTCACATACATACACACGTACACACGCACACACACACACACACACACACACACACACACACACACACACACACACACACACACACACACACACACACACACACACACACACACATACATATATCTATACGTACATATATGTATATATGTGTGTGTATGTATGTATATATTTATTATATATATATATACTCATTTACTTTGTTAAGCAAAAGGTTATTTTACTTATTTTTCTTTGATCATTAAGCCTTTCATTCGCCTCATGCATACATAACCCCGTTCCTCTTTGGTTGCCTCAGCACCAACGACGTCGAGGAAAAGATCTGGGTGAGGTCCCTGCCTGATCCCGGATGGACGTTCGCCTCAGTCAACGTACCCATCGACGACTCCTCTCAGGTGGGTCTTAGGTAGAGGTTCTTGTGCTGGGGCGATGGAGGGCAACGCTGGCGGATCGGGACGTGCTGTTTTAACTAGTATTAAGCTTTATTAAACTTAATCTAGAGTTAAACGTAGCTACACCTAGTCTCATATTTACGTATACTTCACATGACAACCTAACTTGGCTTGACTAGACTTGATTAAACGTAAACTTAGCTAGGCTAGAGTTAATTAAATTTTGACTTAGACTTAAACCTAACTTGGACTTGTACTAACCAGCCATGGCTAAAGGCATAACTATTTACACAGCGTATTATAGAGAGTATTGGAATAAGCAGATAAAGAATTGATAGAATAAGGGCAAATAAATATCTCCTGTAGAAATAACTTACAATCTCCAATTTCTGGCATTACAGATTGATTTAGCAGGCATCAAAGCCGGTAATTCGATGGCGTCTATGCTAGTGGACGACATGGCTATCCTTCAGAAATCGTGTGAGGCAGATGCTGTCAGAGGTGAGGCAAAAGTGAAATGAAATGGGAGTATGTATGGGAGACAGAGATAGATAGATAGATAGAGAGAGAGAGAGAGAGGGAGAGAGAGAGAGAGAGAGAGAGAGAGAGAGAGAGAGAGAGAGAGAGAGAGAGAGAGAGAGAGAGAGAGAGAGAGAGAGAGGGAGAGAGAGAGAGAGAGAGAGAGAGAGAGAGAGAGAGAGAGAGAGGGGAGAGAAAAAGAAAGAGAATGAGAGAGGAGTGAGTGAAAGAGAGTGAGATAGAGAGAGAGAGAGGAGAGAAAAGGAGAGAGAATGAGAGAGAGAGAGAGAGAGAGAGAGAGAGAGAGAGAGAGAGAGAGAGAGAGAGAGAGAGAGAGAGAGAGAGAGAGAGAGAGAGAGAGATTAAACGTTCTGATGTAGGGGTAAAGCTGAGAATATCAATACATACAGTGATATCGTGAACTCATACCGTAACCAATAAGACCACGTCCTGCCAAACTAATAAAACCTCTATAAGCCAATACTAAGAGACAGGTAATAAACCTCCCAACCCATATACTTTGACGAACACACATCTACCTTTGATTCCAGAATGCGGCTTCGAAGAGAGCGACATCTGTGGCTACACCAGTGAACCAGGACTCGGGAATTGGACGCGGGTGTCGCCCCACGACGGCGACAACAGCCTTGCTCCTCACACGCCCGTCGATCATACCTACAACACTGAATATGGTGCAGTGTAGTTTTTTTTTCTTTTTTATTTTACGATGTGGTCTACGGGATGATTTATTTTAGGGATTTGTTGTTGGTAATGATGGGTAGTGGTAGGATTTTTTTTTTTTTCTTCGTTTTGCATATCTTTATCATTTTTTTGTATGAACGTATTTATATAACTTGAATTCAGTTTACTATATATCTTAGACTACCACTTAATAGGAAAAAAAAACGAATTTACTCACATACTTATGATCATCCGCGTCGCATCTGAATCGAAGGCCACGTGCCCAGCCCAAACACCTCCCCCTTGTCATACTCCGCAGGCCACTACATGGAGGCGGCGCTGGTCCCATCCCACAAGGACGATCTGGTCGGACGTCTGAAGAGCCCCGAGATCTCGCAGCCGGTGGACGTCCAGCAGTGCGCCACCTTCTGGTACGTCCACAACGGCGCGACGTTTTTGGACAAGCTCATTGTCTACGGCGTTCTCAACGGGGACTACGGCAGGCCGCTGTGGAAGGAAAAGGGTGAGGTTGAGGGGGGGTAGGGGACGTCAGGTGTTTGCTTTGGTTTTGCTTTTGAATATCTTCTGAGGTCAGTGATAATCTAGATATTGTTTGATTCATGTGCTCTTGGTGGTATTATACTATATTATATTATATATCATATCATGTTATATTATATTTGCCGTCATTTAAAGAGAACAAAAGGGTCTCCTCTAAGTTCTATGGTGTCAGTCACTCAACGGTATGTATCCTTCAGCAAGCTACATCGACACGTGGTTGTCAGCGTCGGTGCCAGTGCCAACAGGGCCGCCGACCGTGCAGATGGTGTGGGAGGCCTGGCAGGGCAAGAGGAACGACCACTCCACCATGGCCATTGATGACGTCTCGATCACCATGCAGCCCTGCGACGCCATCGGTACGCTTCTGTTTCAGTAGTTAGACTGGCGTTGCCACAAGCAAAATCACTTTACGTAAAGTCATACACACATACATACAGTGTGTGTGTGTGTGTGTGTGTTTAACATTCATATTACATGATTCTGTGCAACATTTATCGTCACTTATCAGGGAGGTGCCTTTCATACTTTCAGGAAGTAAAGAACCAGATAGAGACAAAAAAATTGGTAAAAAACAAAAACAAAAAAACAAAAAACAAAAATATACCTATTTCAACAAACCAAAAAGCGAATCAAACCCCAATACCCACACACCCAAGAGGCCCTTCTCTGCATCCTCCTCCAGGAACGTGCGACTTCGAGACGAGCACATGCGGCTGGCAGAACGTGGTGTCGGGGGACAACCGCACGGACGAGTCGGACTGGGTGCGCGGGTCGGGCCGGACGGGCATCGATCTCGACAACCCCGACGCGGATCACAATGGAGATGTCAATGGTGGGTTTCGAACGTTTTGGAGGAGAAGGAGGGGGGTGAGGATGATGAGAGAGAGAGAGAGAGAGAGAGAGAGAGAGAGAGAGAGAGAGAGAGAGAGAGAGAGAGAGAGAGAGAGGGAGAGGGAGAGGGAGAAAGAAAAATATATAGATATATAGATAGAGAGAGAGATAGATGAATAGAGGGATAGATAGATAGATAGATAGATAGATAGATAGATAGATAGAGAGAAAGAGAGACAGAGATAGAGATAGATAGAGAGAGAGAGATATAGAGAGATAGATAGATAGATAGATAAATAGAGAGAAAGAGAGAGAGAGAGAGAGAGAGAGAGAGAGAGAGAGAGAGAGAGAGAGAGAGAGAGAGAGAGAGAGAGAGAGAGAGAGAGAGAGAGAGAGAGAGAGGCAGATAGACAGACAGATAGATAGATAGATAGATAGATAGACAGATATATAGAGAAAAAGTTAATATTTGATTCGGAGAAACTGATGAGAGAGAGATGCATATCACAGACAACAATTAAATAGAGATTCGGTTCGGAAATGTCAGTCGGAGACGATGTTAATTTCGGCGTAAACTGCGACTCCAGAGATATCGAACATTGAAAATATACTATAGGAAAAATCGACTATTCTTTCATGATGGCATAAGTCCGTTATAGATATACATTCGCCTCATAATGTTTTTAAAAAATCAACAAAAAATCTTACTGATATATCTCTCATTCCCATGTGCATGCAGCCACGTACCTTTACGTAGACACAGCATTCGATGGCACCGGAATGGCACTGTTGGAGAGCCAGATGCTCCAGCCTGAACAACACAACAACCTTTGCTTCCACTTCTGGTTCTTCATCCAGGTGAGACGCGCGAAATACTGCAAGGGTATAAATGTTTAGAAATAAACAACAAATGACAACAAATTCTTTAAATACAAAGAGAAAGACATAATACTAGTTGAGCCATATAGTCAACACGCTGCAATTATTAGAAAAATAATCAGATATGATAACAGTAATTTATACATTTGACCTTACCTGAATAGGGCGAGGAAGAGGACAACATATGGATTGAACTGCAGAAGGAGGACGACAATAAACATGAGGTCTGGAATGCAGACGGCCAGAGCGACAAGGTTGGAAAATGGAAGGAAGGACAAATACACATCAAGGCAGATAATCTATTCACCCCTGCGCCATATCAGGTAATAGAAAGAGAAAGATATGTGTATACATATAGAGAAATATATATATATATATATATATATATATATATATATATATATATATATATATATATATATATAGAGAGAGAGAGAGAGAGAGAGAGAGAGAGAGAGAGAGAGAGAGAGAGAGAGTTTAGAGTGAAAGGGCAGCAAACGCACAGTTCCAAACGAAATTATATATCAGGCTCACAAAAGCTTCCTTATAGTTCTAACACAAGCCTTCTTCTATCCAAGATCTTCATCGTCGGTTTCCGCAAGTCCAAATACGCCAAAATAGCTGTCGACGACTTCGTCATGACCAAATTCGACGGAAACTGTTCAGTGTTGCCAACTCATAACGTGAGTACTTTTGTTTCCTCTCTGTTCTGGAGAGTTTTAATTTGATTTGATTTTTTTTTCATTATTTATTACTTTTTTTGCGGCATTGTAACACCAAAGAGTTATTATCTTAATTTAACTTTAGGTATGACATTCCATATGTATACTTCTTTATCTATTACATAAACTGTATATCTTTCCTCTCCATACGTGACCTTCTCTGCCATGACACCAACTACCCAGCAGGTTTTTTTATATTTCGGAAATAAGAAGACTATTTTCTCTAAACAGGAGGATATTTCTTGTGACTTCTCGGAAGATCAGTGTGGCTGGACAAACGATCCGGAAAACCAGATTGATTGGAAATACAATGGTAAGTTTGTAGCTACATAGAACCATATTATGTCGTTGACGTGTTGGCCAGCTATAAGTCACTTTTTCTGGACTGTATTTCTAACCAGAAATATTAACATATTCGTCATTATTCCATGTAGAGTAAAGAGGAATAACAAAATAAAAGAACTATCATTTACAGATAACTTATTTAAACGACTTTATTCCCTTTATATCTTTACGTGGCTTAATTTACGCGGTGTTTCCCCCTCCTTGTCACTCCCCAGCCGCGGCCCACGAGATGTGGCTCGACCCGGCGGACGTGGGAGACAACTACAGGGTCGGCCGCTTCAGGAGTCCCGTCGTGGAGGTGGACGAAGGAGATGCCCTTTGCTTCACCATGACCTGGAAGAAGGAGGACCAGGTCGACGCCTCGCTCTCCGTCAAGCTTTATAGGTAAGGGCAGGAGGATGGGAGGATGGGATAGGATGGAGAGGATGGGGGATGGGGAGGATGGGGCATAAGGACAGGGTAGAAGGAGAGAGGAATGAGAGATAGATAAACATATATATATATATATATATATATATATATATATATATATATATATATATATATATATATATATAAAGAGAGAGAGAGAGAGAGAGAGAGAGAGAGAGAGAGAGAGAGAGAGAGAGAGAGAGAGAGAGAGAGAGAGAGAGAGAGAGAGAGAGAGAGAGAAAGAGAGAGAGAGAGAGAAAGAGAGAGAGAGAGAGAACGGAAACAGAAGAAACAGAAACAGACATACAGACGAAAATAAAGAACGGAAAAGATAATAAATCCACCTCAGAATAACACTTCTCCTTCCCTTCCCCCCTCCCCCCTCCCCCACCGCCCCTCTACCACCCTCAGCGAGAGCTTCATCGAGGAGGAGACCCTGATGACGGTCCATGACGGCTTTTCGGGCGAGTACAGGAACACAAGCGTCGAGGTCACGAAGGCGGGGAAACACCACATCGTCATCACGGGTCTGGTGAGTCCGCGCTGGGAGGGCGTCATGAGCTTCAGTGACGTCTCCGTGACCGACTCGCCTTGTTCGGAAGGTAAGTTGAGGTCTTGGTGGTTTTGTTGGTGTGATTCTATAGTTTAGGGTTGCGTTATTTGTTCCTTTTTTGTTGTTGTGATTGTTCGCTAGAAAATGTTTTGGCAGGTTTCCATATACTCTGATTGAGTTTATTCTAAATTATAAGTGTTGTGTATCAAATTGAAATAATATTAATGATAGTAGAATGATAATGATAATGATAAATCAGTTAGGGCTAATATGGTCATATATACCCTTGCATTTCTCTAAGTAAGAAATTACTCTTACCTCTTCCCTTCTATCTTTATTTTTACTCCCTTTCTCATTGATTCCCTATCCTCTTTCTATTTTCTATTTATCCCTCTCCTCCCTCATTTGTCCACTACTCTCTCCGCTCGTTCTTTTTTTTATCCCTCTCCCCCCTCTCTCCCTCCCCTATTTCTGATTCTCTCCCCCCTCTTGTATTCCTTCCAGCTATCCTAACTCTTTCTTTTCATTTACCCCTCTCCACTTTTCCTTTCACACCTACTCCATTCCCTCTTTCTTATTTGTCCCTTTTCCTCTCTCTTTTCTCTGATCTTTTCCACTCTTTCTTATATATTCCTCTCCCCTTGGTACTCTTACCCGATTCCCTAATTTCTATCTGTCCCTCTCCCCTCCGCTCTCCCCTTTCCTTCTACCCTCCCCCCACGTTGCATTCTTCCCTCTTTCTTATCTATTCCCTCTCTCCTCTCTCCCTCCTCCAGTCGTGGTTTCAGGAGGACTCTCTTGCGACTTCGAAAACCCTCAACAATGCGGCTTCCACACCTCCCTTCCCGGAGACACAGCGAAATGGACTTGGGGTTCCGGTACCCCTTCTCTGGACCACACCCTCGATGCTATGGATGGTAGGCTTCATGCTGCAATAATTTTAACGATAGTCGAACGATAATGATGATAATAAAGCAGTAAGGGTTAATAAGGTAATATATACCCTTGCATTTCTCTAAGTATGAAATTACTTTTACCTCTTCCCTTTTATACTTTATCTTTGGGTGGTTCACTTGATGTGTGGTTGTTGTTTTTGTATGTGTGTTTTTTTTTTATAGTTGTGATAAATATTGGTTTGGTTTTGTTGATGAGTGAGTATTAGTTGATTGTTTTTTTTTTTAAATCTAGGAAGGATTTTGATATGTGTGAGTTGAGTGATGCTGGATTATGATTCTCGTCTGATTGCACTGGATGTCCTCGGTTAAGTAAATCACTTAAATACCATGTCAACTTACTCGTTTTTTTTTTGTCTTTATAAAGGTCACAGCATGTTCGTCTCCGTGAATGAAGTAGGCAGTAACAAAATAACACATTTAGTTACTCCGTCTATCGTGCCCACCGATGAGTACGTGTGCATTACCTTCTGGATATACATACAAGGCGCCCAGTCCTCTAGGCTTACGGTAAGGATTGTTTTTAATGTGTGTGTGTGTGTGTGTGTGTGTGTGTGTGTGTGTGTGTGTGTGTGTGTGTGTGTGTGTGTGTGTGTGTGTGTGCGTGTGTTTCTCTACGTGTGTGATAATTAATATGAATGAAAAAATAGAGATACAAAGGGAAATTGAGCATTTATTCGTTTCAATTTCCTTCACCTTCGTTGATCCCTTTTTAATTGTTATCCCATGGCCCTCAGATGTACATAGAGCAAGGGGGACTCAACAGCCTCCCGCTCTGGACGAAAGAAAAGTCCTTCGGCACGGAATGGCGCGGCGCCAGAGCCAGCAGCTGGGTCGATGTTTCTCAGAACTTTACGGTTAGTCGTATGTGTTGTTTGTATACGATGGCTTGTCGTGCATTTGCATCAACACAGTGATTAGTTATATATATATCACTTATATAAATGGGTAGTTTTTATGTTATCGAATGGTTTACTTTCTGTATTGCGAAATAAGAGTTTGGGTATCTTTATTCGGGATGAGGTATGTTATATTTTCTTCTGTGAAAAGAGCGTGGTCAGTTTGATCTACATAACAAGTTCTTTTCCATAAAACAATCAAAGTAAACCAAAATACCAACATTCACAACAAACCTAAACTCACGAAGAAAAACAACAAACATGACATAAAAAAGAGAAAATATATAAAAGTACACTTCTTCCTTAAAACGAAATCCCACGGCGTAGGTGGTCTTCGAATTACTCACGGACACGGAGATCATCTTCGAGAACGTGGCAGTGGACGACGTGGTGATCACCCCAGGGAGTTGCCCGGAACCCGTGACTTGCAACTTCGACCACGACCTCTGCCTGTGGACGCAAGGACACTTGGACATGATTAACTGGAGGCTTGTTGACAGTCAGGGTGCTCTTCATGACCATACGTCTGGTGAGTGGCTGGGGGGGGGGAGTAGATTTAGGGTAGGGTATTCGTGATGAAATGGCGTCCGTTGTGATTAAGGGAAGGAAATGGGCATGCGTTTGGTGAGTGTGTGAGTGTGGCGGGAAGTAATGGTTTTAAGGTAGTCTATATTCGTGATAGAATTGTGCTACTTGTGGTTAAGGGAAAGAAGAAAGACAAAAAGCAATCGAGGTTAATTTCCGTGAACAAGAGTTTGGTGAAAGTGAGGAAAATAGCAGAATTTATAAGATAACATATTCATGGTAAAATGGTCCTAGTTGTAGTTGGATAAAAAAGTTAAGGACAAAGACTCATATATATGATGAACTGCTCAGACAGGACGATCTGTATGACCTATCGTCTGGTGATTAACAAAAACATATAGTTATAGTTTTAACTTGATATATTCTTGATAGAATGTTATGGTTTAGATATACAATCGAATATTCTTTAATATCTATAAAAGAAATTATAGTTCAAAACATGCTTATATATTTTAACATTTATTCTAAACTTTTCATTCTTTCTCTGCCTAATTCGCATACGATGCCGTTCATACAACTTCTCAACAACAGCAAGATAACAACATAAAGATCACAATATTTGTTCAACATTCATTCTTGATTCTTTTCTCTTCCCAAAAGGCAACGGTTATTTCCTGGCCCTGAAGACAGGACCTCCGGTAGCTCCTGGGGACACTGCGGTGCTGGAATCCGAGCCTGTCAGGATCTCGGGCGTCGCCTGCCTCTCCTTCTGGTCAGTTTCCATTTCTCCTTTTGAATCATAGTTGTTATTAGTTTTGTTGATCGTTTTCATTATCATTTTCTTCAAGAAACATTGATTTGTATTACTCGAAAAACAAAACTTGCGGGTAGCAGAAAAAAGTAGTTACTGTTATTAGGAAACCTGTGACTGTTATAGGAAATAAAACATGTACTAGAAGCGAAACTTGCTGTTATACTAGCAGCAAAACTTTTGACATTTTGTGATTTAGTTAGTCATAGCCAATCAGTTTTCAGA